CCTACATCTCGGTCTGCAGCCTCCAGCTCTTCAGCCCAAGATGGTGAAGCACTCACCTCCTCCCTGGCTTCTTCCACATCTATCCTTAAGCTCTTGCCCTCTTGCAATTGAAGCTGACCAATTGGGTGGGAGGGGTGACTGTCTCCCTACCTTTCTATGGAGTCTCTTAAGGTTCACACACCCAACTGTTGCTAGTCCTTCAGAGGACATGGCTATTCAACAACTATTATTGCTCTTAGTTTAGATCCACAACTTGTCTTGTTGGTAAGACAGCACTTCTGAATACACTATATATGGGAGGTACAGAACAAACATGGAGAAATCAAGCTGATACTGGCTTCAAAGTTTCATCTCTATAGTCTAGCTTTCATTGTGCTGGAAGGGACTATGCATGTTGCCAGAGGAGAAAAGTCATTGTCTACCTGACCCAGCTGGTAGTCAAGTGAGCTACAAATATGACCGGTGTGGAAGTTATGCCCACTGGTGTAATAATGGTACAAATATTAAGAGAGTAGCCAATCAATTTCTGATTCAATTTAAGGCCTATTTCACAATATGAAGTCCATAGCTGCCTCTATTATTGTTGTAAGTGCTAAGAACCTGTGACCAGACAGATCAATGTGCAGAGAACAAGGGACTGTAGAGTGCTCTGCCCTAAATGGGACACCTATATCACATTCTCTATTCCCAAGGCTCAGCAATCATTGCAGAAGAGAGGGAAGGGAGATTGACCTGGGCCATGACTGTGAGACATTTTCATAATTGCTAGTTGATATAGGAGATCTTGGTCCACTGTGGGTAGTACCATCTCTAGGCTGGTGGGTCTGGGATGAATAAGAAAGTTAATTGAGCAATCCAACAGAAGCAAGTCAGTAAACGGTGTTCCTCCATGGTCTCTGCTCCATTTCCCACCCCTAGATTCCTACCATGTGTTCCTTCTTTGGCTTTTTTTTGATAATATGAGCTAAAATAAACCACCTTTTTCCCAAAGTTGCTTTTGGTTATAGTGTTTATCACAGCAACAGAAAACAAACTAGAACAAGTGCCTCAATCCTTTGCCTCTGAATATTTGAAGAAGCATATAAATAGGTTGAAAAAATCTGATCTGGATTCTTTGCTGGAAAACTCAACAGAGACTCTATATTTGAAAATATAGTTAGTTCTCAACAAATGTGATTATTACTAAATGGCTCAAAATGAATTTCAGACTATGGAAGTCTTTGGGGGAATTTAATAGCACTTACTGTTAAACCCAATAGTAATCATTCAGTCAAAGACTTATCAAAGCTACAGACAATTCTTTGAGTGTGGAATGAATTGTTTAATAAGTTCCTCACAAGCAGGTTTAAGTTAGAGATTTGCATAAGTGGGATTCATTAGAGAGGTTATCCCAGTACAAAAAATGAAGTGGAAGAATTTGCTCAGTGAGGAAGGCCATTTAGCTCCATGCCTGATGACCTGAGCTTGGTCCACAGGACCCACATTGTGGAAGGAGAGAAACAACTCTCACAGGTTGTCCTCTGACAACTTGCACATGCTCATGCCCACACCTACCCTACACACATATGCACACCAAATCAATAAATGTCAAAAACGATAATGAATAAAGCAGAAACAAAGAAGAGAGAAAGTCAAAACACACAAGTACATTAGTATCTAGAAGTCAAGAGTTGTGTGTTAGACAAAGCTGCATTGAAGCAGCAGTTAAGAAACAGTCACTGACATCCCACTACATAACTATGTATGAGGCCACCACCAC